AAAAAACAAAAAAAAATAGGCAGTTGCCTCTAGTCATGGAAAGAGGAATAGTGACAGCATTCTTCCACCCATAAGTTCACATTTCTTTCTGCATTTTCTTTCGTTTGCATTGATCCAGATGAGTAGACAATCTGTTACGTCATCTATACAAATGCTGCTCTAGTCCACTTGGATTTTCTGTCAGAGGGCTCACCGTTTAATAAACCTGGACTTCAAGATCTATTCATAAAGATCTTCTGCCAAAACTATTGGATAAGTGTAAGGAGTGAACATCTTGGGCCAAACGGGACAATCAGAATGAAAGTACTAAATGTTGGAACCAGTCAGTAGACCTCAGCATCTGTGGAGAGAGCATAAAGTTAACATCTCAGGTCAAAGAACTAGATTAGGTTAAAAATGTAACAACAAAGTTTTTAAGCAAGTACAAAACCAGGGGTTCAGGTGATGGGGGAGATCAGCAGGGAAAGTCCATGGTTGGGCTAAAATCAGGAGAATTTAAATTACAAAAGATGCCAATGGAAAACAAAAGGTTGCAGTGATGGAATAAATAAAAATAAAAGGTGTTTAGAAGTGTTAGTGGGAAAAATAGAATCTTTACAGGGACCAGCCTTTCAAACAATGTTGAAATCATGTGCACGTACATGCAAAACAAGTTGAATGATTGGCAACAGTCAGGCATCAGTTAAGTGTGTGATATGAAGCTGTGTTGAATTTGAAAAGTCTCAAGGGGTTTAGATGAGTCCCTTCAGAAATGGGAAACTCAAAACCACAATGATCCAGACAAAACTTGCAACTGATGGATCAGTGATGGTCAAAATATAATTCTAATGAATGTAAGGGCTTTGACATGTTTGACATTATTTGCTTCGATTCGAAGAACTGCTGTGTAAGAGTTGCAGGAATAATTGTAACCATCAAGTTTAGTTTAGGGAGCAATTAGAAAGTGAATAGACCATTAAAATAATTACCAGACTAGAAATAAACTTCATAGAAATAAAGTCTTTCATAATATCAAGACATTTAAAGACATGATACAGCCAATCAATACTTCTTTGAAGTCTGGTCTCTGGAATATAGGAAACGTGGCAGCCAAATCTCTCAGATCAAGGTCCTATAAACTGAAAGGCCAGATGTCATCCCAGAATCCCTTCCCTTCCTTTTTGGGAATGATGCTATGGTATTCATTTCTCATGGAGCCCAATGGGTTTCTGCTTTAACACGTCATCCAAAAGATGATCCTGTTGACATGGAGTCTTTGGAGTGGACTCAGTCCTTTGAATCAAACCATGGGCTTTCATACTACCAACATCGTGGAACATCTTCTACCTGCATGGGGAATTGGTCAAAGGGAGCAGCAAACTAGAACAGAGAGTAGCTTTGATCTTCAACCCTCTTCATTTGGATTTTCCTGCTTGGAAGAAGTTGTGTATAATGAGGTTGAAGGGGTAATTGAAGACCTTGAGTACTTAACTGTTTAAATAGAGCAAGTTGGTCTTCCCTCCTGGACTATAGTTGCGCACCTGTCATGTCGTTGGTATTTTGATGCAGAACACAGCCAGGAATGGGAAACCACAAGCAACTGTACTCCCTCCCAGCTTGCCATTTGATGCACTGTGCCAATGGATCCCAAAAAGGAAAATCTCCAATCGAGGGTTTGTCCAAAATCAGTATTATCATTCAACTACAGGTAGTTTGTTGTGTTGTAGATTAGTTTTTTGATGTAGTATGCAACTATTTCCAGTTCAGTGGGCCTTGGTCATTCTGCAGAGAAAGGGGCGGAAGCATACATAAGGAGGTGCACAGATATTCAAGAGTTGACCTTTGACTTTGGATGCTTGAGACTTGAGGAAAGACTGTGACAACTCTGACCCTTTCTTTTAAAGGAATCAAATGATTAAGAACCATTTTTTTTTTGAGATCTATATGTCTACCAGCTAAGTAGAAAAGTTCATTTTAGATAAAGTTATGCTAAGACCATTCCCCAGAACAAGACTGCATGATTGGAAACTGGAGTAAGTTTCTAACTTTGGTAAGACCATGCTTGGAGTCCTTGCATAATTCTGATCCTTTTACACAGAAAAAGATAAAGAAGCACAGGAGAATTTGGAATAAAAGATTTACAAAGACTATACCACAACCAACAGATAATAACAATCCAGATAGATTAAATATGTTCGGACTATCCTCTCAAGGAACCAAAAGGCTAAGATTGACTTGGTAAAGGTTCTGAAAATTTATGAAGTGGTTTGTTAGAGTTGATGTTGAGCATAAGTAGTGTTTCAATTCACTGGAGTAGTGCGCTTGAAATTGAGCCCTGCTATTCCTGCAGTTGAAACAAAAGTAAGATTTTATAAAGCTTCCAAAGTTCCCCAATTTACCAGAATTTCACACCCAGATTGATTTTAAAAAGTGCACACCAAATTCTGTACTGAAGGATCACTTTTATTACAAGTAGTTAGACTGTAGCTACAGCTAAGCATTTGTAAACCATTGGCATATGATGCTCCTAATTAAAAACTCTTCTTGACTTACAAACAAATGGTTAAAAATAAGTTATGGCAGAGGGCAAAATTGGAAAGTCAGTTCAGTAGTCTTTGTTACCAAGTTATGTTGTTGAAATGATCCTTTAATTCTGCTGCTGGGCAGCACATCAGTCACTTTCTCTGGGTACTTCTGCTAATTGGTAAGAGATAAATGTTGGCCAGTTCACGTAACAAAGTCTCTGACTTGTCAGTTAAAAGTCACAGCTACAACTATCACAGGAAACATGAACTGGTTTTCTTTGGGTTTACAGTAAGTTTTGACTGCAGATGTAGAGCTCCTTCCTGAGCTGGGGAAAAATTGAACATCCCTTTCTTTCTGTAACTTGTTCCCAGCTCAAAGCTGTTCAGTTCCCTGAGAATCGGGCAGGCAAAAGGCCTGTCATCTATAACCAGTCCTTAGTCTATAAATCAATCAAATTGTTGCTGGTGAAAGCTGCATCTCGCACTTCTTTATTGTCTACAGCTCAGTTGTAGTTGTTGCTTGTTCAAGCTGTTGTTTCTATGATGCTTGCCATGAGTTATTTCCTTTTCAAAACTACATCCACCCTTTTAAACTGTTCTTGCTCGTTTAAATCTGCCATGTTTTTATATTAAAAAAAAACAAAATAAAAAGACATCCTCCTTACTGGTGGAATCCAAAACTGTACCACCTCCATAACACTCAACATTGGAGCCTCCCAAGAATGCGTCCTCAGCCTCCTACTGTTCTCCCCGTACACCTATGACTGTGTTGCCAAATTTAAAACAAACGTCATCGACAAGTTCGCTGACGACACCGCTGTAGTAGGACGGATATCTAACGACGACAAGTCAAAATGCAGAAGGGAGATAGAGGGTTTGTTGACGTGGTGCAATGAAAACAATCTGTCTCTCAACGTCAGCAAAACTAAAGAACTGACCATTGACTTCAGAACGAAAGGAGAACAAGCTCCCATCTATATCAACAGAACTGAAGTTGAGAGGGTGAACAGCGTCAAGTTGCTCGAGTGATGATAATCGACAACCTGTCCTGGACTTCCCATGTAGATGCGACAGTCAAGAAGGCACAACACCTCCTCTTTTTTTTTTTTTTTTTTCTCGGGTGGCTCAGGAAATTTGGCACGTCCGTAAGGCCCCACACCAACTTCTACAGATGCGCCATTGAAAGCATACTGTCCGGGTGCACAACAGCCTGGTATGGCAACTGCTGTGTCCAGGACCATAAACTACAGAAGATTGTGTGCCCATCCCAGACCATCACAGAAGTCAACCTTCCTTCCACGAACTCTATTTACACGACTCGCTGCCGCGGAAAGGCGACCAACATCATCGAAGACCCATCGCACCCTGGTAATGACCTCCTCCAACCTCTTCCATCAGGCAGAAGATACAGAAGCCCGAACATGCGCACAAGCAAGTTCAGGAACAGCTTTGTTCTGGCTGTTGAGACAGTTGAATGGACTCTAGCCTCAAATAATGTAACCTGTATGCCTCTAAGTCTTTTTGATCTGTGCATCCTATGCTTGTTGTGATCTGCCTGCACTGCTTGTAAACAAAGCTTTTTAATGTATTTTGGTACACTTGACAATAAAATCAATCAACTAGTCATAAATGTGAAGGCCATTTGACCAGTGCATCTGTAAAGAATTCAGGAAAAATCCCTTTACCTAAAGAATGGTGAGAATTTGAACTTTGCTACCACGTTGACTAGTTGGGGTGAATAGCAAAAATGTACTTCAGGGAAAGTTAGGTAAGTAGACAGGAGAGAATAGAAGGAGGTGGTAATCGGGTTAATGGAGTAGAACAGAAGGTAGCTTGTGGAAGCACAGAGACCGACATGGACTAGTTATGACAATTGGCCTGTGCCTGTATAAATTCTGTGTAATACTGCAAGTTCAGCACTTCCTAATATTAGGAAGGTCCACATCAGAAAGCAGTGGTTTTTAAATTGGCTCCACCGGGGGAGATGAAATGAACATTTTGTTCGTTTGTTAGCGCAGACTTTTACTGAAGGAAGCTTTTTATTTTGTATTTAATCAGTACGGATGCAAGGTACCAAATCTCAAAGAGAAACAATTTTATTCTGCATGAGAAAAGGGTGCTGATTGGTTGTTGGGCAAGTTCAACACAACTGATGAGTTACCATGGGGATTGCAACAAGAAGCAATTGTCTCAAACTTGTTTAATTCAGAAAAAAGCACAACACCTGAATATGCTTTTTCTCCTGCAGCAGATTAGCTCCTGTGTGCAAAATAATATATGTAGCTTTTAGCAAGTGTAAATGAGCCACATTGTGAGCCCAACTGGTCCCCTAGTAACTGATTTAAAAGTAATTCTTTGTGTGCTCTGGTATGAATTAAGGAGTTCTTATTTATGATGGATTTGAGGAAGAGTTGAAAGAATATGCGTGAGTTTGGACTAGATGATATTGTCTGTGTCTTGCATCTGCACTATAATTTCTTTCTTTTGTGTTGTTAGGACTATCTTGACTGCATCACTGACCAATCACGGCTCCCACTGGGGACAGAAGAACGCTTGGCTCTGTTTGGAAACATCAGAGATATCTATCAATTTAACAGGTGAGTGAATCCTGATCCACTGAACTCAGCAAAGCTCCTGATTTGTAAATGCAAATCAAAGTTCAAACATACAAGTAACCAGCTGACTCTAATTCAGCATTCCCTGTTCCAAATTGAGTGATTTCTTTTTTTGATATAAGGTATTGGGTCATCAGTAAGTCAGGTTCATGTCAGTACTGACTGTGGGAGTATTTCTTGTACGGTCCTGACTTTAATTGCTGCAACATTGGTCGTACTGTAAGCTGCTAATGCCTGAAGACCTGAAATTCCCTCCCACTGTCTCCTCTTCCCCACAATGTTGCTCAAAACCCACCTCTTCCAGCAAGTTTCTGACCATTTGTCTTGATTGAGATCCATAGGACAACAATGGCAATGTTTACTTAATTAAAAATTCTCTGAAGAACTGAGAGATGCTGGATTATGTTCTAGCTGCATGATTTAAATTTGTTGTATTCACTGAGCAACGAGCAGCAGGAACGGAAACAGAATTGGAGGTGACACAGTGGTTAGCACTGCTGCCGCTCAGCTCCCGGAACCCAGGTTTGATTCTAACCTCTGAGGCTGTGCGTCTTTGTGTGGAGTTTGCACATTCTCCCCATGTCTGTGGGGTTTCTGCTGGGTGCTCAGGTTTCCTCCTGCAGTCCAAAGATGTACAGATTAAGTGGATTGTGTGTAGTGTCATAGAAACATAGGAACAGGAGTAGACCGTTTGGCCCTTTTGAGCCTGCTCCACCATTCATCACAATCATGGCTAATTGTCCAACTCCAGGGATGTACAGGCTAGGTGGATTAGCTATGGTAAAATGAGGGGTGTGGGTCTGGCTGGGATGCTCTTCAGAGGGTTGGTGCAGACTTGATGGGCTGAATTGCCCCTATCTGCATTGTAGGGTTTCTGTGATTCTAATAACATGAATATCTTCACTGCCAAGAATGATTAAGAAGGCCTTGAAGGCTGAGAGGAGTGTTAAGATGTTTGTGTAATCATAGAATTTGACAGTATAGAGGAAACTCTTTTTCAGAGACCCAGCAATAGGAGAGGGCAAAGTGTTCACTTAATCATATTCTCCTCATTCCTACTTTTCTTAACTTTCACATGTTTATTTAAGATTCTGCTTCCACCAATGCCAGTGTTTCCTGCTTATAAAATCTCACATGGAGACCACTCAGCTAATTTGTGCCCACGCTGACCTCTTGAAACAGCTAACGAGTTAGTCCCATTTGTTATTTCTCTAACTCTAACTTTTTAAGTATATATCCATTTTGTGTAAATTTCTAATGAATTTCCTGTTGCCTCCAATAATGCTTTTTCCTTCATACTTTCCACAACTTCAAGACTTTCCAAAGCACGTTTGTGACCTGCAAAGCACTACTTTGTAGTGTGGTCGCCTTTTGTAATACAGGAAATATGGAAGCTAATTTTGCTGCAGAAACAGCCTAGAAAAAGAGGTATGATAGTGTAATCTGCTTGTGCTGTTGGTTGATGGGTAGATATTGGTTAGGACAATTTTGTTTTCTGACCTTCCCCACCCCCCCGCCCCAACCATTTCCAATAAGGGTAGGTTGGCCTTTGCCTGTAGTCACATCCTGAAGGCATCTGCTCTGACAGTATAGCATGAAGTCTGCCTGAATGATGGGCTCAAGTTGTGGAGACGAGCAGTAGCACTGAAATGAAGCTGATCGTTTTAAAAGTGAAGCATGTAGTGTTTTTGAACATGTCATGTCAAGTAGACAGGGAATAACATATAAAAGCATTAAATAGGAGTAAACAACACCTGATGTTGCCCACCTAAACCCATGTTGTTATTATCAGAAATCTGAACACAAATTGGAAAACAAGTATACTTGCAGCTGTGTTATTACAATGGCTGCTCACTGTTTGGTCTCTTTCTTTGTCTGTTTACTGTTGCACTCCCAGCAGCTTTCATAAACCACAAGTTGTTTTAGAAGATATATATATGTGATGAGACTGCAGCCAGAATTTATTTTCTCCCAGACTAGTTTGGGGTGGGGGTGTGATTTGGAGAAAGAAAACAACTTTTGAGAAAGGGTATTGAATATGTACGGAACTCCCTCTTGGGATAATGTGATGTGACTCATGCTTTCCTCCAGTATTGGGGCCACGGCTTCTCTATTTTTATTTCTAAATGATTTGGAAATGGAGAACTGTATAATTAAGTTTATTACATTTTGTGTTGGGTGGTACGGCAAATAATGTATATGTAAGCAGGAGGATTCAAAGAAACATTGATAGAACCTAGTCTGTAGAAGAATGTCATCTGCTTTGGGGATTAAAAAGGGATATAAGAAGAATCGGGGGTTTTTTCCCCAGAAATTTCTAGTAGTAGCCTTGAGAAACAACTGTTTAACTTGCCAAGTCATGGAGTCATACAGCACAGAAACAGACCCTTCGGTCCAACTTGTCCATGCCGATCCTAAACTGAACTATTCCTGTTTGTCTGTGTTTCACCCATTTCCCTCTTAAACCTTTCCTGTCCATGTACCTGTCCAAATGTCTCTTAAATGTCATAATTGTATTCGCCTTTACCACTACTCACCTTTACCACTTCCTCTGGCATTTTGTTCCATGTATGTACCACCCTTTGTACAAAAAGGTGCCCCTCGGGTCCCTTTTCAACCTTTCCCTCTAACCTCAAATCTGTGCACTCTAAAGTTTGAGAAGATTTGTAGCTTAGGTCGTGGATGAGGTTGTGGACATGCTCACGGAGCCAGTGGGTTTGGTTGCAAACGTTTCGTCACCCTGCTAGCTAACATCGTGGTGTGCCTCCAGTGAAGCGTTGGTGTTCTGTCCCGCTTGTTATTTATATGCCTCGGTTTGCTGGGGTGTTTGGTACCACTTCCAGTTCTGTTTCTCAGTAGTTTGTACACCGGGTCTAATTCAATGAGTTTGATAGAATTCCAGTTGGAATATCAGAAAAGTCAAAACAATGTAACAGCATTATTTAAATCCATAAACATTGACCTGGCCAAAGAAACAATTGCCACACTGTTGGACGAATCAAGTCGGCAGGCAACCCAGGACACCAACAACATTAGTAAGGACACACTATGAAACTACTAGATCTGTGCTTGACAACGCACTTCACCTTCAACGATGGCATATAAAAAACAAATCAACGGAACACCAATGGGATCCCCAATATTGGGACTGATTGCAGAAGCAGTAATGCAAAGTCTACGTGTCTACAACCCCATCCATGACCTCGGCTACAAATCTTCTCAAACCTTAGAGGGCAAAGATTTGAGGTTAGAGGGAAATGTTTAAAAGGGACCTGAGGGGCACCTTTTTTATACAAAGAGTGGTACATACATGGAACAAAATGCCAGAGGAAGTGGTAAAGGCGCGTAGTGGTAGAGGCAAACAGAGCTTCCCACAATACACCTCCATCTTTGAGTCCGATATGTAGATGACACCTTCGTGATTATCAAACACACAAAACTAGAAGAAACCCACCGACACATACAACATCCTCACTGGGATAAAATTCAAAAGAGAAAAGGAGAACAACAACTGATTACCCTTACTGGACATAATGGTAGAACACAAAAACAACGGGGTACTCCAGACTAGCGTATGTAGAAAGACCACGCATAAGGACCAGATGCTCCATTACACCAGCAACCACCCCAATGCCCACAAATGGAGCTGCGTCAGGGCACTATTTAAATGAACCACGACACATTGCAGCAACCCGGAACTACACACACAGCAGAACAGGAGCACCTATACAGGGTCTTCAAAAGGAATGTGCTTTTCGGGCATCCAATCTGCCGTTACCTCCAAGACAGACCACGACAGGAAGACACAACACGACCAGACTCACTAATCACCCTACTGTACATCAAGGACATTTCAGAGATGCCGACAAGACTACTCGGACCCCTAGGTATCAAGGTAGTCCACAAACCAACAACCACTCTATGACATTAATTGATGAACGTAAAGGATCCCATACCCAAAACCAGCAAAACTGGGGTAATATACAAAATGCCATGCAAGGACTATGAGAAACACCTACATGGGCCAAACCGGAAGAAAATTGACAACACCGATACACGAACACGAACTAGCCACCAAAAGACACGACCAGTTCTCGCTTGTCTCACTACACCCGGATAATGAAAGACACCTATTTTGACTAGGACAACACATCTATAATTGCATGAGCCAAACAGAGACATGCCAGGGAATTCCTGGAAGCCTGGTATTCCAACCAGTACTCCATCAGCAAAAGCATTTAATTAGGCCTGGTGTACAAACTACTGAGAAACCGAACCGGAAGTGGTACCAAACACTCCATCAAAATGAGGCAAATAAACAACAAGTGGAACAAAACACGGCTTCACTGGATGCGCATTGACAATGTTACCTAGCAGGGTGATGAAACGTTTGCAACCAAACCCACCGGCTCGGTGAACATGTCTACAACCTATGCCCACTAGTTTTTGACTCCCCTAACCTGGAGAAAAGACCTTGATTATTCACCTTATCTATGTATCTCGTGACTTTGTAAACCTCCTATGAGGTAAATAAATCCATCAGTTCAGAAAACTAAGTTCAGGAAAAGAAAATCAACATGGCTGTAGAAACTCTCAAGTTGGTAATTTACTTCCTTGAGACATGGGGGAAACCCACATGTCACTACTTCAAAATTCAAACTTAACGCATGTGATACTAAACATACTGGAATTACAGCCCGGTTAGCCTGACATCTATTGTGGGGAATTCGTTGGAGTTTAATCGGGGATAGTGTAACTGATCACCTCAACTTCAGTTAATTAAGGAGAGTAGCATAGATTTGTGAAAGGTAGGTCATGCCTACAAACCTCACTGAATTTTTTTGAAGAGGTGATAAAGGTTGTGGACAGAAGTAAGTTGATGGATGTCATTTATTTGGAGTTCCGGAAGGCTTTTGATAAAAGTCCCACGTGAGACTTGGTTAAAGTGGAAGTCCATGGGATTGAGGGCATATTATTGACATGGATAGGAAATTGGTTGAGTGGCAGGAAACAGTTGGAAAAATAAATAAGTACTCGAATTGGTAGGATGTAACCGGCAGGGGTCTGTGTTGGGGCCTCAATTTATTGACATTAGTCATTAATGACTTGGATAATGGCATAAAAAGTCAAATATACTAATTTACCGACAATACAAAATTGGGGGAGCAACACTGCAGACAGTATTGATGACAGCATAAAAGTACAACTGGACATAGATTAAGTGAATGGGCAAAGCTGTGACCGACAGATTTTTCATGTAAGCAAGTGGCGAGTTTGTCCATTTTGGACCAAAAAAAAATAGATCAGGGTATTTCTTTAGGAGGCGTAATTTTGAATACAGTGGCTGCCCAACAAGTTTTGGTGGTTCTGGTGCATAACTCTTCAAAATAACATGAACAGGCATAAGGGATAACGGATGGCCTTATCGAAAAAGGATGCGGACGTTATGCTGCAGTGATATGAAGCCCTAGTTAGACCCTATGTAGAGTACTATGAGCAGATCTTGGCACCACCCCTTAGCAAGGATGCTTTGGCCCTGGAGGGAATTCAACATGTTAAAGTTTGGCAGAGGGGGACGGAATTAAGTTTTCAGGAGAGGAGACAAATTTAGGCCTTTACTCTAGCATTTTGAAGGTTAAAGAATGATCTACTAAAGGTTTTCGGGATATTAACAGGGAAAGAGAGGGTAGATAAAGAAAAATTGTTTCCACTGAAATTTCTAGAACCAGAGGGGATGGCCTAACAATAGAACATAGAACATATAACATTACAGCACAGTACAGGCCCTTCGGCCCTCGATGTTGCGCCAACCTGTGAAACCAATCTGAAGCCCATCTAACCTAAACTATTCCATTATCATCCATATGTTTATCCAATGACCATTTAAATGCCCTTAAAGTGGGCGAGTCTACTACTTCTGCAGGCAGGGCATTCCACGCCCTTACGACTCTCTGAGTAAAGAA